CCCCCCCCCCCCCCCCCCCCCCCCCCACTTCTGCCCTGTGCTACCCAGTCCTGATGAACCCGTTTGCTTGTGTCAAGCTATTGGCTGCCTGCTTTTTATGTGGCTTTTTGTTCCCAGTCTTAGAAATTTTCCACATATTCTACCTGCCATACTGTGGCCCCAATAGGATCAATCATTTCTTTTGTGACACCTCCCCAGTGCTCCAGCTGCCCTGCATTAACAGCAGCTGCCATGCTAGTGTCATATTCCTCAGTGGTGTCAGCGTGTCACTGTCACTCACTCTGATCTCCTACAGAATGCACAATTACCTACTGTGGTGTGCACAATGGCTATGCTGCCATCATCTACCTGAACCTAAGTCTATTTACTTACCTGAGTATGACAAGCTCCTTGTTATGTCCTACATGGTCTTCACCCTGCTGCTCAACCCTGTGATGCACAGCCTGAGGAACAAGAATGTGAGATTAGCCATTCAGAAGACAATGGTTAGGATGCTCTGACCCTAGAGATAGTAACAGCAATGGGACTTGACCTGTAATCACACAGAGCCTTGGGAAATCCCACCCTGGGCCAGAGATCCAAACCAAAGTTCAGGAGAAGTCTATGGTTCTTCAGGAAGGTGTTTAATTCTGCCACAGAGGGTGTCCTTGTTCTGCAGACCCTCAGGCCTGGTTAAAGCCACTGAGTGTGCTAACCACCTACCTTCAAGCCAAGCGGAGGCTGCAAGCAAGACCTGCATCAGTGAAAGGGCTTCTGCAGTAGAATCTATGGGTTATGAAAGGGGGGTACACATCACTTCCTGAGTATAGCTTATCTATAATTTGAGGGCTTTCCATGGAACTGGTTGCAGATGCCAGGGCTAGGGGAATGTTAGGTATTTAGAAATGGAACAAGAAATGGATATTATTAGGGTTCATAGAGGGACTCAGACAGAGCTCCTAGGCCACAGGACTGGCTAGGAATCCAGGCTGGGGCTGGGGCTTGGGCTGGGCCAGGTCCAGGATTTGGGGAGGCGAGTCAAGTGGGTGTGGGGATACCTTTGTGTTGGGCCCTAGCCAGGAAGGAGGGATTGGTGCCTGGCTAGACCTGGGACTGGGTCCTTCCAGAGTTGAGGGTTCAGCGAGCCCTTAGCTTGGGGCTGAGCTATGCCTGGAGGCAAGGCATGTGGGAGGCTTGTCCCTGTGCTAGTCCTTGCCCATGGCTTGAGGCAGGTGTGGGGCCCTTTCCTTTGTGTTTGACCCTTCTCAAGAGGGAGGGGAAAGGGCTCCTTTCAGCATTGGGGTAAGGAGGGGCCAAAGCCTCATACTAAGCCCTGGATTCAAGAGTGTGTTGGTGGGGCTAGGACTTGCACTGGTCCTGTGCTGTCCAGTAGGGAGTGAAGGGAAGGGAAGGGAAGGGAAGGGAAGGAAGATTCACGGCTTGTGCTGGGTCTTGTCCAGGAACAAGGAGAGAGAGTGTCCTAGGCCATATGCTGGGCCTTTCCTGGGAGTGGGGAAGCTGGACCTTTTGCTGGCCCTTTGGGCTGAGGGTGGGGGAACTAAGCTTTGTGTTTGGCTCTGTCCAGGGCTGAAAAGAGGTGCTGACATAAGCTTCTCATTGAACTCTGTGCCCAGGAGAGATATGAGAAGCTGTGTGGGGATTTTCACTTAAGGACCTCATATAGATGGGTCTCTACTTGCATCTTTGCTCTTCTTTCCACTACTTTTGTGTGAGGAGGAGAGAAAAGAGCCTCAGAATGAAAGAAATGATTCTGTAGCTTTGTGGGAAGAGCATTCCCCTGAGAAATGGGAGAACTGGTTTCTGGCCCCTGCTCCAAGGGCTGTTTCCACATTTCAGTCCATGACTGGATAATGTAAAGTATGTATGTGGTGAGCCAGTACAGGGCGCTCCTGCACTGAGCCACCCACCTCACTGCACCCGATCACCTACCAAGCTCTGAGTGCCTCCCCAGGGGCGCCTCACGTCTGACCGACCCCCTTCCTGGAGCACACCCGCTAGCCTGGAGGTACTGCCACCACCACCCAGGGCTCTGGACCGTTTCCAGACCCTGTGCCCCCTGGGCCACACTGGCCTTGTAGTCCTTGAAGGTGCTTGACTCACTGCAAGAATCTGGGGTGCTTCCTTTAGTCTGAAGCACAATTAGTAGCCTCCCTTAGTCATCCAAGCCAAGGGAATAGAAAAGGCACACCCTCTCCCAGTGAGTCCACCACACTTGGTACAGTGGAGAACTTTATTGGTCCAGAGGGTTGGATTGGGGAAGGGTACAGGATAGAGATGTATCACAGAATAACCTTAAAGCAAACAGTGTGGCTAGGTAGCCTTTGATCACATATCTCCTTTACTGAAAGCTATATATCTAGATAGGTTTCAAGTAGTTTACTGACAAGTATCATCCAGAGGCTGATTGAGATTTCCCCTGGAGGCAGGTAATTCCTGGTATATCAGTTAGTTACAGGAGAGAGAGAGAGAGCTGCAGGTGTTCAACTGCTGTGTGTGTCCTCATCATAGCTACCCCTCTCCCCCTAGGCAGTCCTAGCTTATATAGACCTATTGACATCACCTTTGGGGGCCCAATGAAGGCTAGGTGTAGTCTTATACCAACCAACCAATTCAAAAAGCATAATTGGTCATCTCAGAGACTGACATCTCTTGAGCCACTACCCCTCTGCCATGAGGACACTGCTTAGAACAATAGAGAGGAAGATCCACCCTCCTCTCACCTGGTCCAGGTCATGTAGGCAGAGCTGGTTGCTTAGCAACTGGTGTGACTGACAGGTAAGAAGACAATGATAGAGGAAAAAAACTAGCAGGAGAGACAGGGAAGAGACTGGGGATGGAAATCCTCCACAACGTAAAGACTATCTCACACCTCCCCTTCATTGCCCATTCAGTGGGCAACCTTGTCATAACCCATATAGGAAAAGCTTGAATTTTTCTCTGTGTAGTGGAACAACTTTGAGTTAAAAAGGGAAGAATGTGATGACTCGGGACACCACCCTCTGATTGGAAAATGGCAAATGTGGAGCTGAATCCTATTGCAATTTAGGCCTCTATTAATCCTAGGTAGGTGTGTGAATAATTCCACTGATGTCAGCTATAGGACTAAAGACTTGGCTCTTATCCTAAATATATTTGTGCATGAACGTAGCTATGCTGATAGTCCTGCTGATATCAAAGACAGCTGTCATTTGTGCTACTAACATGAAGCTGTTTATAGGGTTTCAGGTTTGCATGCTGGCTCAGGAAGACTTCCTTCTTCAGGAAGGGTAGATGATCATAGCTTTAGCCCCCATTCAAGTCAGTGGTATAGAGAAGTATACTATGTGTCCAAGTGCCTCCTTGCCCACACTTCACTATATTTCCACATTGGGTTCTCAGTTTGCTTTTGCTGCAAGTGGTAAAAATCACACTAAACATAGGATTGTTTGTTAATTTCATTTTTATGTGAATACGAGTTTTACAATGAAGGTAAATTCACAAAAATAAAATGGAGAAAACATTACTAATACTTACACCTAGTACTTTTCATGGTCAAGTCATTTAAAATCTTCACGACATCCCTGCTAGATAAATGTTATTTATGTCTGTTTTACAGGATCAGTCTTTTGAAGCAAAATCTTCAGAGAAGAGGTCATAAAAACAGAAGCTACATCTACACATTTTCTAAACGTTGGGTGGAATTTAAACATTTACTTAAGAATAGGAATATGAGCATGTCAAAAACAGGAAGTCGATCTATCCCACTATCAGTAAGTTTTGTGAAAGAATACACCACAGCCATCTAGCAATGAAACATCTAAGACTTTGGCCCACTTGGCTCACAATAACTAGGGGGTCACAAAATGAAACTAGTAGGCAGTAAGTTTAAAACTAGAAAAAGGAAGATTTTTTTCACCCAGCACATCATTAAAGTGTGGAACTCGTTGCCACCAGGTGTGGTGGAAGCTGAGATTTTACCCAGATTCACCAAGGGATTGGACACATGGTTGGAGGAAAGCAACATCAGTAGCTATTGAGCATGAGATTAAGGGGCTCGGCTTCTGAATTAGAACTCCCTAGACCTCAAATGCTGGAGGCTACAAGTGATAAAGGAACAGTTGAAAAATCCCTGGTCATACCCCAGTTCACTCTTCCTTCCAGCATCTGCTCTCTGCTGCCATGTGACACAGGAGACTGGGCAAGAGGTACCTATGGTTTGACATAGTAAATGGCATTTCCTGTGTTCTTTTGTTCACTTTAGGACTAATTAGTGCTAATTAGACCCACTGTTTGTGAAAGGTTACTAATTCCTGGCCTAAACTGGTGTAATGAACCCTGGGAGCTCAGTGGCTGCATCTCCATGACTGAAAAAACCAGAAGCAGCACTTCCTTTTGACCATTCTATTTCAAATAAAAATGCAAAACCAACCAGCAGAATGCATGTCTTATTCCCAGAATTTTGCAATATTTGTCCCATGACATATTTCACCATTTTTCTTGGTTTGAGGCAAAAATAAATGTTAAAACATCAGAATTTCCTCTGGGGACAGAAATTCCAGTTTATGCTCAGCTCCACACATCACTAAAAGATCTCAGTTTGCTTCATCTACCACAAAGAGGTCTGGGAGGGGATATGAGCACTTTCAAATACAGTACAGAGAGTGAAAAGAGCAGTCTAAGCTAAAGGACACTATTGGCATAAGAAGAACCAGTGTTGTGAATACATCCTGTTTGGACATAGACTATTTCTAACCAGGAGAGAGGTAAAGTTCCACAACAGCTCTTTGGTCAGAGTAACAGGGGCAAAAAACCTGAGAGGTTTGTAATTGAGTGTGGTCAGTTTTTGAGTGATCATAAAAGTGGCTGCTGTGACAGTGGGGTCTGGATCCCACACCCCAGTACCCATCTCAGCCCGATGTCCTTTGCTCCTGCTAGGCTGCAGCCCTCTATAGAAAGGCTAGCTTTTGTGTGAGAATGTTCTCCTGCCAATTGCTTTCCAGAGGGCTGCTTTCACCTCCTTGTTCCTCAGGCTGTACACCAGGGGTTTCAGCAGTGGGGTGATGATGGTGTAGGTCACCGTGACCAGGGTGTCACTATCCGATGCATAGCTGGATGTGGGCCGCAGATAGATGAAGGAGGCGCAGCCATAGTGCACTGTGACCACGGTGAGGTGGGCAATGCAGGTGGAGAAGGCCTTGCGCCGCCCTGTGGCTGATGGGATGTGCAGGACAGTCACGAGGATGCAGGCATACGAGGCGCAGATGGAGAGCAGTGGGATGACAAGCACCAGCACACCCAGCCCAAAGATCACTATCTCATGGGAATGGGTGCCTGTGCAGGCCAGCTTCAGCACAGGGGAGACATCACAGAAGAAGTGATGCACATGTCTGGAGGCACAGAAGGGGAGCACGAAAACCAGGCAGGTGACAACCAGGGACACGAAAAAGCCACCAGTGCAGCAGGCAGCCACCAGCAGGAGGCAAACCCTCCCATTCATGATGACTGTGTAGTGCAGGGGGTCACAGACAGCCACGTAGCGGTCGTAACCCATCACTGCCAAGAGCAGACAGTTAGTCACTGCAAAGCCCAGGAAGAAATACATTTGCGTGGCACATCCCACCAGGGAGATGGTGGTGCTGAGTGCCATCAAGTTCAGAAGCATTTTGGGGATGATGACAAATGTGTAGCAGGTCTCAGAACAGGACAGGACACCAAGGAAGAAGTACATGGGAGTGTGCAGGGAGCGGTCACGGCAAATCAGGGTGATGATGACAGCATTCCCCAAGAGGATCAGCAGGTACAGGAGCAGGAAGACGATGAAGAGGAGGTGCTGCCACTCGGGGAACTTGGAGAAGCCCAGCAGGATGAATTCTCTGACTGGGGTTTGGTTCCTGCTGCCCCAGGCTTCCTGATGCATCTGCTGTGGAGAGAGAAGAAAGAGGATTGGCCAGGGACAGATCTAAAGGAGGTGCAGTGGTGCAGCTGCACTCGCCTTTCGGACTGCATGAGGGCTGGCCTTGGCTGGGAACAGTGACAGTGGCAGCAGCAGGGAAGGTGTGTGTGTGTGTGGGGGGGTGTTCCCCCACTCTGCCCAGTCCCCTGGGAGCAGGTATGGGAAAGGGAACACTCCTGCCTATTGTTGCTACCCCATCAATGTTCCCAGCTGAGCTCAGCCCCCATGCAGCCTGTCTGGGGTGGACAGGAGCAACTCTGAAGCTTTCCTGGGACTGCAGGGAAAGCAGCAGGCAGGGGAGGGAGGACTTAAAAGATGTTCCCAGAGGCTCCCTCAGTGTGGCTTGCCCATATTGTTGGCTGGGAGGAGGGAAGGGACTGGGAGCAGGGGGTGCAGCCACCCCTGCAGTATGGGTATCTCCTACCACACCCTCCCTTTGCAAAATCCTGGATCCACCCCTGGGATTGAGCCATGGCATAAGCAACCCAGGACCTTAGAGCATCACTGAGGGCTGCTCCTGAGATGCTGCCTGGGCAGAGACCCACAGCAGAGTCTGGGCACTCAACCAAAAGGCCTCAGGTGCCTCCAGATGTAGGGGAAGGCTTGGGGGTCTTTCAAAGTGCCTAAAACCAAACTCCCAGGGAAACTGAGGCACTTGGAAAATCTCACTTGGTTTCACTCTGCATCTTCAGGGACTTCAGGATTAAGCTCTAGTAGCACAACCAAGGAGCCCTGTCATTTGGAGCAAGGACATGTATCCATCCCTCCCAGTACCCACCCTGCATCTGCCCTCTTGCTGGTTCCTGCTGCCCTCAACCCATTTCCACCAATACCCTTGTGGGACACCCCTACTGAGCACTCTGTCCATGATCCCCCAAACCATTCCTCCTTCCAGCACCCACCTACCCAAGACCTCATCCTGCCAGAACCACCCCAGCGTCCAGTTCCCCCCCCCCCCCCCCCCCCCCCAACCTGCCACCCCCCCGCCTCCCCCCCCCCCCCCCCCCCCAGCTGTACCCAATGCCCATTGGCCTGCACAATTCCAGCCTCCACCCAAGATCTCCCTGCCTGCCTCTGCTAACACCCTTCAGGCCCAGCCTGCAGACCCCACTGTCCCAGGCTAGAGTTTCCCTCCGCCCTCTGCCCATGCACAGCTCTGCCAATGCTTCTTCCTCCCATCCCATGGTGCCTCTGTGTTTCCAGTCCTGCCACCAAGTCATACACACAGTTCAGTTGATGCCTCACAGTTCCCACCTGTTTCCTCCACACCCTCTATGGTGCTAACCTGAAAAGTCCCTCACTGTCCTGTTGCATACTGCTTCCATCTGCTGTAGTGAGGTCAGGGAGCTGATCCTGCCCAGCTGGCTTTTCCCACTGTCAGGTGGCTCTGATTTCTGCCCTGCTACCTTCAGATGTGATCCCTGCCACTGCAGCACCTGGAGACCTGACTGCAGAGCCTGGGTCTCCCCCAGGCTATACCTGTAAAGGATTCAGACACTGCCACTACCCCAGCCCTCAGGGCCCTACCTGTGATGGCTCCTTCAGTCCAAGGGAGACTCCAGTTGTTGCCAGTGGCATGGATGTCACAGCAGATGGGGGCACTGGCAGGGCTTTCCTTTGGGGCACCCTGGACTGTGCACCCTACTTTCCCTGATCTGCACTATGTCACTCTTGAGCATGCACAATATGGGTCTGTTTGCCCCTTGGAAACAGGGCTAGACAAGGATGGAGGTGCCAAAGGGATATAGGGCTGGAAGGTGGAAGTTCAAGGGGAGCTGGACAGGGCTGGGAGTGCTGGGGACTATGGGGGGCCTGACATTGATGAGGTTGCTGGGATATCTGACCTGATTTGATTGGAGCCTGCTCATGGATTCATGTATTGTTAATTATGACCTGTACTGTTCAGAGCAGAGGATGAACAGGGAGGGGGAGGTTGGTCTTTTACTGTTTCCCAGTGAATCTTTGAACGCTCCACATAGCCAGGGAGGTCAAAGCCCCCCCCAAGCCACACCACACCATGCCACACCCTGCCACCCTCAACTCTAGGTTCTGCTCTCATCCCATTAGCTCTGCACTCATGGGTCCTTGCAGAGACAACCCCTGGGACCAGCTGAGTGACCCAGGAGCAGGCTCTGCTCTCATTGATGGGAGTCAGGAAGGAACCATGGAGTCCTTCTGCAGGGAGAAGGGTGTGACCAAGATGGGTGGCACAGGGGCACAGGCTGGGAGGGTTTCGCTGGGGTTGTCACAGGAGTTACGGCAGATCATTCCCCTCATCTGCCCAGAGGCAGTTGGGTCCAGTGAGCCAATAAGTCTGAGACCAGGGCATGCTGAGGAGGGGAGCCTCTGCTGCAGATCCTGCTGCTACATCCAGAGCAGCAAGAGGGACCTTGGCTTTTTCTCTCCCAAATGAGTGTCCTCAGGTCTGGTATGTGGAGGAACAGGCCTCACCCCAGGGAAAATGCTCTGCTGCTGGTTTTTCTCCGTCTGGGGCAGGACTCTCTCTTTCTCTCCCCCGCATTTGCTCTCATGGGTCTGTCCTTGTGAAGGGTCTTGCTTTGCCCCCGTGCAGAACAGCAGCTTGTTAGGACTCCCAGGCCTTGTCAGGATGGGAAGCCTGTCCCACAAGCCCTGGCTCCAGCCCCAGCCCCAGTCCCAGCCCCAGGGCACTAAGACCTCCACCTCTCCATGGATTCCTACCATTTACATCTTTTGCCTTGCTCACCCCTGCTTACAGAAAGGGGATGCTTGGCAGTGCCAGTGCTGTGCTGGAGGGTGGGGCATCACCTTTGTGTAACCCTTTACTCCTGCTCAGCTCCTGCCTTGCTCTCCTACAGGGGACAGTGAAGGTATCACGAGATCTCTCCTCTGCTCCACACTCACCCCACAGCCATGCATGTGCCTCCCGGCCTGCATGGGCCAGATTCACCAGGGCACTTAGGGTCACTAAGCAGACAGTGTGCTTAAAGGGGTCAGGGAAAGTGAGCTCCTGGCTGCTTTGTGGCCCAGCAGCCCTACCCTCCTGGCTTTGGACTGTCTGGGAGCCCAGGGAAGGGAGGGATTGTGCAAGGAGAACAGGAATGAGGAGGGGAACAGCCAGGCCATTTCCACAGTCAGGGGTACACTTTTCTGTGCTCCCTAGTAGAGTATCAGGGGGCGGGAGGCATGCCCAGGGATCACAGCAGTGCTTGAACCCTGCTCACCTCAGTCCTAGGTGTGGAGGCAACATGTTAGCTTGGGGTCTCTGCAGCCTTCTGGCACGGCACGTGAATGAGTCTCACCTCTAGAGCGGTCCCTTCCTTTCCTGTGCAGACACAGCAGCTGCTGACCTGTTGGCAGCCACCTCTGCCAGCTCCACAGGGCACTGGCAGAGCTCTGGAGAATCCAAGACCGTGAAAGCGGCACTCAAGTCCAGCTCCCCGTGTGGCAGAGGCTCTGGCACAGCAGAACCATTGGACAGCTTCCGCTTGGGGTGGCAGAGGGGTTCTGCTCACAGAGCTTGTGGGGATGCTTTATCCAAGGCAGGCCCACTACCTCTGGGAGCATGGGGTGGGGGGAGCTCACACAGCACAGCACAGCACAGCACAGCACAGCACAGCGGCAGCATCACTCTCCTCAAGGAGAAGCACATACTTCCCTTTCCCCACCACCAGCCCGCTCACTGCCCACAGTCCCCCCAGCCCCAGCAGCTTTTCCTGGGCCTCAGGGGCTGGGCCAAGACAGCGCTGGTGGGTTTGGTGTCCATCACCAAGGCTTGTGCTGGAACGGAGCTGCTGCAGCAGCAGGGAAGAGCCGGGCAGTTGTTCTTGCTGCCAGGAGCACAGTGGCACAGCCAGCCAGCGCTGGCTCCTTCAGGCTGGAGCAGGGCCAGCTGTGGCTGGGCAGCCTGAGGAGAGAGAGTGAGGAGATGCAAGGCACACAAGGGAGGGGTTTCAGCCTGGCCAGGTCTGCAGATCAAAAGAGAACCTGTTTCCTGCATTACAGGCAGAGAGACAGAGGTCCTGGGGAAAAATGTTCTCATGTGGGAACCTCAAAGGAGGCAACAAAATCCACAGCTGAGCACCTAAGGGGCCCTGTGTCTGGAGATGCTGTCATCTGCCACCGTATAGTTAGCTGCAGCGGCTATGAGTGCTTGTCACCAGTTACATAGACATCACTTCAGGCACTGTGGTCTCCAGGCAGGACATGTTCTCTCTGTATGACGTGCAGAGGGGACACTGGGGGTTGGACTGGGCCAGGAGCAGCCCCTTGCCCTGGGCTCCAGCCCCTAGCTCAGGTGCTGCCCAGTGCCGCTGCAGGCTGGGACTTCTGTGCCTTTGGATTCCTGGCTGGGAATTATTTGGGGCTCCTACAGAGCAGCTGGGCAGCACTTCCTTTCCCACACTGGACTTGCTGTCTTGGGTTGTTAGACATTCACCATGCCAATGGTTGGGAACCTCTCCCCTCTCGGCGCCTGACCTGGCTTACACTCACCTTCCATAGATGGGGGTGACTAGGGCCAGACACAAGATACCTGATGGCATCTCACTGGGGCCAGCTGTCCTGGAGCAGATGCATGCCAACAGCATGACAGGGCTCTGCCCTGGTGCAGGAGCTCCCCAAACCATGGCTATGTCAGTAATGAATTCTGTACCCCCTTCTTCACATCTCTGGCCCCCACCCCCAGCAAGTAAGACAGTGCTCCCCTGCCCCATCTCTGCTCCACAGACTCCCCACCCTACTCTCAATGGCCTGTGCAAGCAGCTGCGGGGTCCCCATATCCCCTTTCCTAGGCCGGGGTTGTGGGGAGGCAGACTGACCCATCACTTATGGGGGAGGGAGCAGAACTGCCCTGGTTGCTGGGAAAGTTCTGGTTTCACCTCCAGTTAGGACAGGGCCCCTTCCCCCTCTGGATCTAGCACTGCCGCTGGGCTCCTGATGAGAAAGGCCTGCTCTCCCCATGGCTGCCTAACCCAGCCATGGCTGTGGCAGCCAGCCAGAGGGGTTCCCCCAGCAGGGCTGCAGTTTGCTCCAGAACTCCCTGCTTCAGGGCACCCTGGTCCTGGCTAGCCCCAGT